TTGTTTTCAGAGTAGTTATCAACTTACCTTTAAAAACAAGACATTAAAAATATACTCTAATTTAATTACTGTTATTACAGGAGCAGCGTCCTTTGGGCACCATAACCCATTCATCGAGCATCAGGTATGCACCGGGTATACGGCCAGAGGAGGCCAGGAGAAGGGTCCCCACACAGCCCCTTTTCTTTCTCCTTCTCCAACGAACAATGCATACAAACAGAGCATGCAGTTTGAGCAATCGGGGGCAGTTATTACATCTCTGCACACAGAGTAAACAAGCAAAACATGAAGTGCATTAAACAAACGTCCCGGTGACCCATGCTGTTGCAATGAACAGGGTCCGGCCACCCACTCCTCCATGGATGCAGTAATTTGGATGAACGGCAGAGAAGGAAGAGAAGTCTGCAGAAGCCTCTCCCGAAGTTTCTCTTTTCCAACGCTGCTGGAGGCACACGGATCTTGCAAACTAGGCAGCAGCCCCTGCCTGTGCCCTGCTGAAGGCACCCGCGCTCTGGTCTTGGCTGCCCCAGCTCCTCAGGGCTATCCTGCTGAGCAGAGAGGACAGCAGAGCTCAGCACCCTCGCATTAAATGCATCCACTGGAAATGAGACAGCTCTTTGAAAAACATCAAAATGCTGGTTCCAAAGATGAGATTGAAAGTGTCTGAAGGGCTTTTTTTTTTTTTTATTTTTTGGGAGGGGTGTGGGGGTGGGAATGGGGCAAGATAAAGGGTGTTATTAAGCATAGTTTGAATTGGCTTTGTACACCTGGGGTAAAGATATCCTGATCTGGTACATTTCTAGCTTCTGTGAAACCGTCTGTACAATTTTTTTTTTTTTTAGATGAAAGGGGGAAAGGAGAAGAAATATTAAAAAGTGAGTTAATGAAAGATCTTGACTGGACACATAAAAGAAACAACTTGGAGAAAAACAGTCCTGTGAGATTCAAGCTACAGGCCCTTGAAGACATAAAGAACAACATTCAGGTAACCTTGTCTTGGATCCATTCATGAATAAGGCATGTTCCGTTCGCTTTGCTGCATGACGCTGATTTAAACAGGTTTTTAATTCTTTGCTTACAGCAGCACGTTGCCATCAGATCTAAAGATGGGCAACCACACAGAGGGTGGCTTAGCAAAGCTGCAGGTAGTTTTCGGACAAACACAGTAAGTGTAACGCACCGAACTGCAAAACGCTTGTCCATTACTGGTAAATACACGTTAGGTAGCTGCGGAGACAGACAGAAGAAAAGCTTCCTTTTTCTTCCCCCTTTCCCTCAGAAGTGTAAAAGCTGGGAAGGGCTGGTATTCCGGATGAGAACACGACCAGCCATCAAAACTTCAGGGAAGCTGGTGGAAGGAAGGATGCAGGAGGAGCGCGACAGCATTCTCCCTGGCCCGCGGAGATGGCGCTCAGCTGAATGAGCAAGGCATGGTCCCTACGTCAGGCGATGTCAGCTACCGTTACTAAGGAAACGGCACCAGATAACCCAGGCTGAAAGCATCTGCATCCAGTTCCTAACAGAAGCTCCTGTCCACTGAAGATGCTACGAATATCCCCAGAGCTTGCGTCATTTCATTGTACTCTGACTGACAACACAACGCCAGTGAAATTCACGCAGCAGCAACCTGCGGCCCCAAGAAATTTGGCATTTTTTGTTCCAGCGTGGCACGCATTAGCCATGCTGCACACAGTCCAAACGGAACCGCTGCAGCTCTGAATGACGGAGCTAGATCTTTTATAAACCAGACAGGATGAAAGAGTAACTGGAAAGTAAATAGGTTATAAACTGGCTTGAGCACAAGTACAAAAACATCTACATTAATTTTCCTTCTCTTAGACCACACAGGTGAGGATTGTAGATGGTAAGCAGAGTTGCTGTGGTTACCCCACAGATCTCTCCCACCGGATGAGTAAAACTGACTGTCACAGAGGCATTACTGCTCCAGGGCTAGCAAGGGTGGCATGGGGCCGCCCTGGGTCTGGAGAATGGCATTTCCCTCAGGAGCTCGCAAAGGCGAGCTCGTGGCTTCATCCCCTGTGCTCAACGGGTCAGACAGGTAGCACTGAGACTGGCTCTCCTATCTCAACACCCGCTTTCCGTGGTCTCATTAGGGCAACTCTGGGGCAGGAAAGGGGCCCTCCTACCCACCGGATGCCAACACATCTCCATAGAGTCAAATCCCATATAAGCACCTCTAGACTTGCAAATGAACCCTACACAACATGAGCTGCTCTTCTGTGCAACTGCGCCCTACGGATTGAAGCCAGGACCATGGAGACACCATTCAAGGGCTAGCCAGACTGCGAGGAAACCCATTCAGGCTCAACACCCTGCAGTAATCTTACATGAAAAATTTCCTTCTGCTTAACACATGATGCACCTAAGCTCTGTTCTGAGAAGCTGTCACCCAGCACAGGGCTGAACAGCGAACACGAAGTCCGCCAGCTCAGCCTTGGAGTTTCTTGTCCTTACAAACTCCATGTACTATAACAAAGAGGTATCGCAGAAGGGTGTGGGAGAAGTGGCACACCGTATTTAATTGGCACCTTCAGCCATTTAGGGCCTAGGAGAGCTAGGAAATTTTCTGTTACTGATGCAGACAGGCCCTGAAAATCAACCACCATGTATTTAAGAGACTCCTGCTAAACTCAGCCTTGCAGCAGAGTAAAATGATTCACAAGAATTCTATATTTATAACAAAGATTCACTGAAAGTGACTCATGTACTGAGCCAATCTAATTTTAAATGGAAGGGAAAAACCTCTTGAAGAGGCACATGAAACTGGAGTGGGGGAGGGAAGAGAACTGCACAGACAGGAGAGCCCCAGCCAGGAGCCGTTAGCCAAATCTACTGGAAACGGTTTCTCCATTCAATTAGCTGAAGTGACAGCAGAACATTCAGCTTCACCTACTTCTGATTTAGAGTTAATTAAGTCCTACATTCAAAGCAGCTGCAGGTTGGAATACTTCCTTAGGATAGGTAGGATCGCTGGGCAATAATAAGGCAGCTCACGGAGAGTTATTAGTTCTTCAGACCCTACAGAATTCGGAACACAAAACCAACTGGAATCACCACGAGAGGGAGGGAGAAATATTAAGAAGATTTTACAGTATTGCTAATTTTGGCCAAGCAGATTCTAACAGAAATAGCTGCCGCCTCACTACCCCTTACATCAACGCTGCAGCACATCTTACAGAATAGCATTTCAAAGATGGAGAACAGACACGCAACACTAGGAGCTCTTCAGATCAAACAGGTAGCCCGCAGCAAGGGCACAGGCACAGGGTTTCTTCACCTGCTCCTACCTCGGGTCCATTTTCCTCAGTTTCTTTCTCTTCTCTGTATAGTACAAATACACGGTAGATAAAAGGGGAATATTTAACATAAGCACAATCTAAATGGAGTAAACGGATACAGTCTTAAATTAATAACAATAAAGCATTCTCCAGAGAACATGGCCAAATCTTGCACTCCTGCACTGAATATGTAGGGATAAGTTATCCTAAGCTGTAAGTAAAAGATAATTGGAAGCAGCAAGCAGGCTAGGGTACGATCAGCTTTGCCATACATAACCACCACGCACAGCAGAGCAAGTTGGAATTCAAAGCCAAATCTAACTTCCACTCTCCTTAACCTCTCCAGTCATCAACACATAACTGGGTAAGCTTGGCTGCCAATGCTCCGTTCTGTGAAATCCAGAAGTGTTCAGATGATGGCTGTTCTCCAGTCATCTCAGCATCGCTCCCAGTTAAGTCTTCAATTTGAAGCACAAAGAGAAAGCAGCCAAGAATTCACAGGCCAACATACATATTTACAATTGTACGTAGCTTTAATTCTCCGCAGTATCTTGCTGAGATGTTTCTCCACACACCAAAGTCTGATGAATAGTGTTAATTTTTTATTGGCCCTAGTAAATTATGGGCTAGATTACAGAACTGTTGGACCAGCCATTCAGCAGTTCCTTCTCAGGCACTGAATGAAGTGGCCAGGTCTCCAAAGGAGTACTTGGTGTGAACTCTTGGGAGCTGACCTCTACTGAAGATCCAGCATTGGACCATCCTTTACCCACCCACCCAGACAGGGTCTGCTTCTCTCCATCATCACAACACATGCACATCAGTCTAAGCCTGCAGGGACCAGGCAAACCACCACCAAATTTTAGAATTTATTCAGGCTTCGAGCGATTCACAGAGTTCTGAAACACCAGCTGCCCCTGCTATACATGATGTTATCACTGAAGGAATTTTACTTTATTGCTAATTCTTGGTAATGCAACTTCCAAAATCCAGTCATAAGGAAAAGTCACCAACACAATGGCTCACTGATTATATTAAAAAAATACACAAGAATGTCCACAATGTCAAGGCCCGGACCTCGATCTCTCAAATGCACCAGTTATGTAATACAGCACTCAGTGCACAGCGGAGAGCAGAGAGGTGTTGTGAAGATCTGAAACATGCCAATTAGCCAGTGGCATGGTGCTGGCTAGCAAAGTCACTGAGATTTCCATTGCTTCCCTTCTTTAAAAAAGGCAACAGCTCTTTCAATGACTTTTTGGGCTGGATTCTGTCACCTCTACTCAAAATAAAACACCTTATTCTTCAAATACATTGAGATAACTTACTGAACAAAGCACTTTCAGTTGGCAGGTAGCTGCCAGATTTTAACCCATGACGGTGAAAACCTCATTTTTTGGCAGTTATTCTTTGGGTTGTATCTTACCTCCAAATACAGATTTTTTAACCTACTAGTGCTTCCTAGTATATCTCCATGTCATTTTGGATTGGTACTTATTTTGGATAACGCCATTTTAGTAAGTTACTTTCTTATTTGTAACGTACACACAGATGTAGGAAATGTAAAGAAAATGTGACATGGGCGTGAACTCCGTGATTTCTAGTATTTAATTCCCTGCATTTACCCCCATCAGCAGGGAAAATACATTTCTATAGGAAAAGTAAGATGATGTAGTGTTAGCTCTTTCGTGTGTCATTTACCACATAAGGCGATGATGTGACTGCTGTCTTCATGTACAAATTTCCGGGTGACAGCTTCTTCCATGATCTGCTTTACCTAAAATAAATAAAAAAGAAGTGACTGTTAAGATCCCAACACAAACCAGCACAGCACTTGGGAGTTTCAGTCTCAACCTTTGCTTGCCCTTTCCCCATCACCAAAGGACTAACAACTCAGGCGCGTTACTCTTTGCAGGGATGGAAGGATAAAAGCATTGAAGGGAAAGGAAGGACAAACTCAAGCAGCTCTTCATGGGATGAGGGAACCTCTGGTAGAACAGGAACAGGTCTATTTGGGGTGTGACCCTACAAAACAATGAATTATTTCAGAGCACCCAGAGTGCTCTCCGGAGAACTTCTTCAGCAGAAGTTCCAAAGGACTGTGCAAAACTTTTTACAGAATTCACCCTTGGCCTTCCTGCATATGAAGGACTGTTTCATGAAACAAGATCACGTACTGCCACGTGCTCTTTCCAGTTGCGGCATTCTGCTCTTCCTCAAGCACAGAGAATCCCTGAGCTGCACAGGCGTACAGCCCAAGAGAGGCATCACACCAACCTTTCTGCCATCCGGACACTTCACATACCACAGTAATTTCAAATGATGCTCTCAAAGCTCTGCTGCACCAGACCCTATACAAATATAATACAGTACCTACAGAGAAGAAAAGTGCCTTCAGTTTTTGCTTCTAGACACAGTTTAACAATTACAGCAAATACAGTTACATTTGTCACACCTCTTACTGATTTAAAAACAAAGTTCCTCTCCAGTTTCAAGGCTGATGTATCAAGCTCCAGAGGGAATTCATTGCAGATTACCGACTTTCAAGTATTAAGGAAGAAAACAGACAAATCTTACAATTAGGCTCTTGAAGAGAGGCTGCAGTTACCCTCCATTCATCTGCTTGCTTATTCCTCCCCCAATGGCTCCCTTTGCCTGATTCCAGATGAAACCTATTTGCCTCAGCCAATTCATTTATCAGACACTCATTCCTTCCTGGCCATGGAGCACTTGCTTTTCCAGATACAAATCCACAATCATTTTTGGCTTCTCTCATTTGTGAGCTATAATTACGGGGTTAGGACACTCTGCCTAAATAAATGCCACATCACATTCAACATAGGAAAGTAAGTGCTACTGTGGCAGAAGATTTAACAAGATACGCTCTTCTTCCAATATTTTTTTTTTTTTTTAAATTTGAAAACAACTTTTACAGCAGTTCCGGAATCCAACAAATAGTGAATTATCTGGCAGGTGGTCACCATGTGGCTGCTCTTTACCGACACGCTCAGCAGCACGGCCTGCGTACCAACTCAGTCTGACCTGAGCGCCAGCTGTACGGCAACGACCGCCACCGGCCTGCTGCAGGGGCCGGGGCTGCATTCCTAGGAGACCTCGACCCATGCTTTTCAGCAGGGCTGGCAACCGTGCACTCAGCTCTCATCTGGCTGCATCTGGTACCAGAGGTAACCAGTTTAAAGCTAGCTGGGGTACTGCTGCTTTGGAGCGTTGACAGGTCCAAAGATCCAGCGCTGGAACCCGGAGAAGCTGCAGGTGCAATGCTCAATCAACAGCAGGGCTCTGTACTTGCACTGCTGCAATGATGAGGCAGCAGCTCAGTGCCTTCTCCAGTTTGGAGGGCTTCCTCCTCCAGTAAGACCACTTGCGAAGCCAATTCTGGATGTTGTAATCAAGCACACCTTCCCCCGGCTAATCGTCTTGCGGCCTCCATGCCCACCCACTCCTACACCCCCGCCCCGGCTGGCAGCAGCCTGCAGCTCCAGCACGAACCTTTCAACACATGGCGCTATCCTCACCCCAAATTCTGGATCTAGTTGATCCTACAGAATTTGGACTTCGTATCAAACAGGAGCCCTCTGGCAAAGAAAACATTGGGGGGGAGAAGCAAACATGTAAGAGGCTTTAGAAGTAGCACATGTTTTGTATCTGAGGACTTCACATCAAGTCTTTTGCACTTTATAAAACCTGGCTCATTGTTCACATGCTGAGGCTTGACAATATAAACCCCTAACAAGGCAATTTATTTCTTTCCTGGGGCATTTCTGACACGGCTATAAGAACTTTGGACCTTCCAGTAAAGCAGTGGGAGGTGGAGTAAGAGGGTATCAAGGAAAGCAGGGAAGGTGCGAGAAGGTCTCATGGACGGGCTCTCACGCAGAAAGCATCTCGATTATCCTGTTTTTCCAGCATTCCCCTTCTCACATTTTTATTCGCATCATTGTTGATTTACAAGCTTGATGCCTGTTTGTCTTGGCAGGAGCCCAAGAAAACTTGTTCCAACCCTCAACCTTGAAATCATCTGGATGATAGCACCTAGGCAGACCACAGCTCAGGAAAGGGAAGGGGACAGCCCAGCTGAGCAGCTCCGCCTGTTTAAATTCCAGCTCAGACCCTGGCCTGCATTTTCACGCGCGGGAGGCAGCATGTTCCGGCAAACACAGCTTGCAGTGGAAGTACAGAGACAGTGCCATCCACTGCCTCCACGCCAACTCATCTCTGTGTCTCAGCTGACCCATCTGTGAAAGGACACCGGTGACCCAGCCTTTGCAAGCTGTTTGGACTCCGCTGGATGAAAACTGTATTTCATCTACCAAATGAAAGGGAGGACGCACCTCTGAGTGCCACTAGCATTAAGGTGGGCAGAAGAGGAAGCACGAGAGAGCTGCACCAGGGTAAGCCATGCCCGTATGACTCAAGTTCACAGACACGAACTCAGGCACCACTCAGGACTGCAAACTGTGATTTCGGTCTCGGCTCCCTGGAGAACAGCAACTGGAATTCAATTGCTGACGACAGAGAGGAAGAGGAGCCATTTACCAGGAGCTCAGAGGCCAATTCCCTGCTGTCGCACATTGCCCAGGCATACCCCAATCATTAGTCTTTATTAGCTCAGTATGTTATTTAGATCCCAGTCTGCAGCCCAGGAACAAAAAAATTAAAGTGTATAAAAAATTAGAAAGAAAAAGGTTTCCGATGCAATAATCAACCCTACTTTTATACAGCAGCACCATGTGGTCAGCCTGTCAGCAGAGCTTGAATCCAGGGCTAAGCAGGACAGACCAGGCAAGATGCAGCGTCTGCTCCCAGCTGCCACCAAATACACAGCAACCTTTGCATATTTTCTCGAGAGTCAGTGAACGTTATTAGAAAACATTTTCAGGGCACAGACAGTCGATGTGAAGATTCAAAAGCTGGAATGCGGTGTTCTTCAAACCCACGTCATTCCTCACTGCCACGTAATTCAGGGATGCTCCAGGCAAGGAGCTAAATCAAATGTTTCTGATCAAATGGAACACGAGCTTTTTTTTTTTTTTTTTTTTTTCCTCCTTGCAATTTTGTGCAGCTCTCTTTGTAGGGAATTGTGCTGTTGCGTCTCTGTGTTCTGGGAAGGCACTTGTCAATGAAGCTTTCTGAGCATAAGCCTACACAGACACCCACTCGCAGATACTAGTGGACCTGACCAAACTGCAAATTAATCTCATTAAAAGAAACATCAACAGCCTGCCTGCCCCCCCCCCCCATCCTGCACAGGTAGAGGAATCCCTTCAGGCTACTGAGCTGCTCTTTGCTGCAGGGGCTGGAGCGCTGCCTCCTCCAGCCGGAGCTGCTCACCAAGGCACCTGGAGAGAAACCTGCTCAGGTGGGCAGAAGGCGATGGAAGTTTGGCTGGGGTGTTACAGGGGCTCCCTCCAGTGCCTTGGAAACATCCCTCCCGTTCTCTGTGCCTCCTTTGTAAGACCAATACAGGATCTACTCATCTTAACCAGGCTGTTCATTTACACCTGCCAGGTGGGCACAACCATACAGAAAAGCACCACGCGCATCGACTTCTGCACCTTTGTCTCTCCATCCATGAAACAGAAGCAG